ACATTTCTAAGCTTCTTGATGCGTATCATGCAGCTGCCTTTCTGAGAGAGTCCGCTGGCCCCCACCCCATTCCCATGTGTGAGCACACCCACCAGTCCCATGCAGGTCTATTTTCTCTGACCTTAGCACATCACGTGTCATCCTAACATTGTATCCTTGCCTCAGTAGCTCCCCTCATCGGAACCCTGCCTTTCCTATCTGCCCTTCAGAGCTCAGAGCAAATGTCACCTCCTCCATGAAGCCCTCCCTGACACCCCAACCAAAGTCTCTATCTCCAGCCCTCCTTCAGCCTGTCTTAAATCCCTCCTAAAACATTTCCCACCTTTGCCATGCATTTTAATAACTTGTGTAATAATAACCTCTGCTTTATACAGGGCACTGAAGTTTTCAAAGTGCTTCCGCTGAGAGGTTTCATTTGATTCAATCCCAAATGGAAAGTGTTTTGACGTCAGGGACCTCATCAATAGATCGTCTAGGTCTATTTCTGCTGGCTACATCACCAATTCAAGTCCAGCACAACCTCAAGCTAGCCCTTGTGTAACAGAAGTGTTTAGCCAGCCTTTGTTTTTCCTTGGCCTATCAGAACAGACTTCAGGATGCTCCCTTCTGCAGCATGGGGCAGTAAAAGACGACACGAGGGCCCTGGATTCCAGTCCTAGCTGTGTCACTGAGTTTCTGTGACCTTGAACAAGTCTCTGCTCCTCTCTCAGCCTCAGTTTACCCATCTATAAAACGAGTTGGGGGAAGGGCGCTGTGGCTCATGCCTGTAATCCCAACACTTTGGGAGGCCGAGGCAGGTGGATCATTTGAGATCAGGAGTTCAAGACCAGCCTGGTCAATATGGTGCAAACTTGTCTCTACCAAAGATACAAAAATTAGCTGGGCATGGTGGTACACGCCTGTAGTCCCAGCTACTCGGGAGGCTGAGACAGAAGAATCACTTGAACCCAGGAGGTGGAGGTTGCAGTGAGCTGAGATCGTGCCACTGTGTTCCAGCCTGGGCAACAGAGCGAGATTCTGTCTCAAAAACAAAACAAAACACAACAAAAAAGACTGGGTTGAACTACGTTGTCACAGCAGTACTGATAGCTCCTAAGGTCCCTATCCCCAGGCACCCAGAACAGCCCTGGGGTGCCTCTGAGGGCCTCTGCACAAAGCCGGCCTCTGGGATGGGCCAGAAGGAGCTGGCCAGGGAGGCAGGCCTGGCTCTAAGCCAGGCTGTGTCTGCAAACACTGACCTTGGCTGCCGCAGGGATTTTCCATGACACCAGCACCCTCCCTCTGAGCTCCCTGCATCACACATGGGCCTGAGGAGGGTGGGGGATGGGGGCTTTGGGGGTTTGTCCTACATCGAAGGCCCCCAAATCAGTACTAGGGCCACCTGTGGATGGGAGACCGCTCAAGGCAAGAGAGGAGAGAGCAGTGGGCCCAAGAGTGGGGAGTCCAGGAGGAAGCATGGGGCAGGGAGAGAAGCTGCTGGGGATAGTGGGGGGGAAGAGCTGGGACAGGAGATGGGACAATGGGAAGAGAGGCCTCGGGAAGGGGCAGAGCAGAGGAAGCAGATAGCAGATAGGTGCTGTGCTTCAGAACTGTCCTTCCCAGGAGCTCTGGCCTGAAGAGGGACAAACTCCAGACCCCGTTCTGTACACTGGTCCCACCCCTACCCCAGCTCCATGAGACCCTGTGGTTCCCAGGCCCAGCTAGGGGCTTGCCCAGACCCAGTGCAGGGGGATCCCTTCTGAACCTTGAAGCTGACCTCATTTTGAAGGGACCAGAGGCCACGGTGAAGGCAGGAGCTATGAGTCACCCGAGGCCCCCCTGCCAAGGGCCACCTCTCGTCCCCGTCCTGGGTGTCTAAGGGGTGGTTTCTCGTCACCATCTCAGACCTCAGAGTCCTCCAGAACTGGAGCCTCTGGGTTCTGCAGCCCTCCCACCCCAGACCGGTGCTGGACACTGAGGGGACAAGCCAGTCCTGCAGGACTCCTCTGTAGACATGAGTGCCCAAATACAGAGTGGGGGCCTGAGAGGGGCAGAGGGAGGAGAGGCCCCTCCAGTGCCCAGAGAAGGTTCCCAGAAGGTTCTCGGGAAAGGCAGTGTCTGAGCTGCATCTCACAGGAGGAGGGAGAGCACCTGCGCCCTCCTCCTGTCTACACCAAGCTGCAGCCCCTCCCTCCTCTCCTCCCCCAGGACCTGGGCACAGAAGCTGGGCTCCTTCCACCTCATCTCCTTTAATATGCCAGTTAGGCTCCCTCAGAGCCTGCAGTCCCACTTCCTGGCTCCACGCTGCTGCCATCCCCACTCTGAGGGGTGGCTCCCTGTCTGTGCCTCAGGCCCCTGAGCTGGTTCCTCCTGGGCCCTCCCCTAGGTGCTCTCTGAGCCCAGCTGCCCTCTGCCATCCAGCAGGGGAGTCCAGCCTTCCTCTGAGGGCCCTCCCTGTGTCTTGCAGCCCCCAGAGCTGCCTCTGTCTCCCCTAAGCCCACACTCCTCTCTGGCTGCCGCAACAGGCCCAAGCCACACTGAGGTCACCCATGCACCCATGCACTTCGGCATCAGCCCAGAGTTCACGGCCTTTGGGCGCCTCAGGCCACAGGTCCCTCATCCATCTTCCCTCAGGACAAACATTAGCCCAGCCATTGCCTATTTACATTAGATAACTAGGTCAGCCTGGAGACAGGCACAGCCGGCATTGCCAAGGGCTGTGCTTTTTAATCTACAGAAGGGCTGGGCCACCCAGAGAAGAAGATCAAAGAATCATAACGTCAGAGACCTGGGGGAAGGAACTTAGAGGTTCTTGATGCTGCACGGGAGCGTTTCCCAAACTGTGCTCCCAGGAACTCTTGCTCGGTAATGTGCACTATGAGAAAAGTGCTCCACAGTCAAGGAAGTGGGAAGACAGGCACCTTTTCCCAGCCTTGATCGACCCTGCACATGAACACATACATAGCCCTGAGAAAGCCTAGGCTCAAATCAAATGATGGTGAATCCTGTTAAATTCAGCATTTCCCCAATTTAATTGAACCAAGCAACTCTTTTCTCATCCAACAGTTGTTAACATTCCATGGAACTGGTATTTCAGAAAAATGACTTGAGTAAACACTGATCATAGAATGTTGGCACGGAAAAGAACTTTAAAGATCATTAAATCTTGGTGCTCCCCAAAATATTCATATTAATAATTCATATTTATTGATCTTAATATCCTAAGCATGTTAAGTCTATGAACTCAATCAAGTCCCCACACCAAGTCTATGAAGTGGGTACTTCATTATTCCCATTTTACAGATGGAAAACTGAGGCACAGTGGATGAAGCAGTATAGCTAAGGATAAAGGTGTTTGGTTTCAGAGCCTGTGATCTTCTCTACTCCACTAAACCTCAGAGATCTTCTCTCTGTGTTCAGTATTTCAAACATACAACAATAACTGAACTCCGTCTCAAGAGTCAATTATCTCAGGCTAATCAGACGTTCTGACTGACAGATGTGTTCTTAATTAATTTTGATGGGGAAAGAAATTAAGTATGGCTCTAACAATGATTTATTCGGTGCCTGCTCTGCAGAGTATCCACACTGCACTGATCACCACATCGAACTGCATAAATAAAATCTTCCAAAATTTTGACTCTATGAATGGGTGAGTGAACAGAGAAAATAATAAAAGGCAGTGGGAAAAGGTGGGAATCTCATCTCTTGCCCTGTCTTCCATGTCACAGATGAGGAAACCTGAGGCCCGGAAGGAACTTGCCAAAACACAAAGCTGTCTTTGATCAGGGTCAGGTCAGACCCCAGATCGCCTGCCTCCCAGCCCCATGCTCTTTCCTCTGCCCAAGGCTGTGGCCAGCTAGGCCAAGGGTAGGAGGTCAGGCAAGCAGACTAGCAGGCATAGGAGACCAGTGAGGAACAAGCAGCCAAGCCCAGTCCAGCCAAGGCCATGAACAAGGGCTCAGAGTGGCTAGTTGTGCTTTGAATAGAAGGAAATAAGCTACAGGGAGAGAAAGACCAGTAAAAGGGAGGACCAGACCCAATCCCACTCCCACACCACCATCCCCACCCTACATCTCCCTGGAAGACAGCTTCAGACAGTTTCTGACCTCCTTGGTGATTCTGGAAGGAAAAGAGAAACTGAGATGGCCCAGGGTTTGCCTCCGATCTCTCGGTTTTCCTGCTGCCCTAAAATATTTAGACTAATAATAAATTTTTATATCCAGTCACCTGGCTTCCTTAAGTGGATTCTGTGCCTCCAGCCAGGTTCCCAGGCCATCTCTTAGCTGAGTTGCTCCCAAGTAGGAGCTGCTGGGCCATGATCGAATGAAGAGGCACAACTCTGGTCATATCTGAGCTGGAAGGCAGTGGACAGAGCATTGGTTTTAGAACCAAGTATCCTGGGGTTATAGTCCTGATTCTGGCATTCACAAGCTGTGTGACCTTGAACAGACTGCTTTCCTCTCTGGGCCTCCACTTCCTCATCTGTACGACATAAAGACTGAACCAAATGATGGCTAAGGGTATTTCTGGCTCTGAGAACCTTAAAACCTATGTTGGATTCAGGGAAAGGAGGCTGGGAGAGGAGGCAGTATGGACGGTCTTGGTCGTTTTCTGAGAGACAGTGGCTAGAGTCTCCTGGTCAGAACATGTGCTCTGGCTGATCAGCCCAGCAGGTACTGCGAGAGAGGGTCCTCAGAGAGCGAGCCCCAGAGAGAAGCCTCTGTGTGCATGGGTGCCACAGAAGGACAGAGGCAGCCCCCTCACCCAGAGACTCAAAGGGCTGGACAGAGAAGAGAAGATAGAGAACACCTTTTGCCCCCTGCCTCATAAAGCCAAGCCCGATGTGGGCAAGGACCAGGCAGTCAGCGGGCCTACTGGCAGGCAGACGGGTCTTGCCAAACTCCCACTTACTTCCCAGAAGCTCCAGGGCCCCTTGGGAGTGGCTCCACCCAGCTGGCACCCCTCCAAGTTGGGCGCCCACGTCAGCAGGTCCTCACACTCCCTTGCCCTTTCACCCAGTGACAATAGGACAGGCGATGGGGAGGGGGGCACCCTGAGCCGGGTACTTGGAGAAGCGTCTGTCTGCGTGAGCATGGCCCTCCTGTTACCACCTCTGCTGCATCCGGCTCAGAGCAATGCCTGAGGCTGATGCCCAAGTGAAATGCTCTCCTCCCAAGGCCTCCCGGCCTGGTCGCCCTTCCTGGGTGATGCATTGGCTCCCATGTACCGGAATGAATGCTGAGTCAGAAAGGCCCAGTGGCCTTGGCCAACACCCAAGGCCTCTCTGGACTTCATGACCCCAACTGTAATATGGAGATAGTCATAATAGTGACCTTGTAAGAAGTTTTTGAGGATTAAGTTAAAAATACATCTGAAGGGTAAGAACTTATTATTCTTAAGCCTCAGCCTGCAGTAGGAAGTGAGATTGAGCCCTGGGGGCATCTGACCCCAAAGAGGAGGCACATCTAGGCCAGGGCTGCCTGGCCAGGGTAGTGGCTGTGGTGGGGCGTGAGGTGCTGCCTGGGATAAGAGCCTCTGATTAAGCCTGGATGTGTCATTTGCTTTGAAAGTCACTAAGTTCAACAGGACAAAGGGCAGAGGAAGGGGTTGTCACTTGTGGCTGAAGCTGGGTCCTGAGGAGCTGGGTCCTTGCAGGCTGGGGTAGGAGAGGCAGAGGAGGGCCACGAGGCAGTGTGGGAAGCAGTGTGGAGAGGAGGGGCCAGCTTGGCTGGGTGTGGGATGAGGACGGGTCTCTGGGGTGGCTGCAGGGTATAGCAAAAGAGGGGCAAGGAAGGGATGTATAGCTCCCTGAAGCTGGGGGTTTTGTGAGCATAGTCACAGTGGGCAGTGAGGCTGCCAGGCAGGCGGGCACTGGCTTTTACTAAAAGACAGTGGGCCCAGGGAAGTCACAGCCTATGACAAACAGGACAAGGGAGCAGTGGTGGCAGAGAGGGAGTGATGGTGGTACATGTCTGCCTGACCCCACAGAGATGGCCCTGCCCCCAGGCCCATGCTCTCAGGTCACCCTTCCCCTGTGAGATCCCACCACTGCCGCTTCCATCTTGCAAGCCACAGGTTCCAAAGAGCTCTAACGCCTAGTCTCTCCTGTGCTCCTGCAGATGACTCTGGCGGGCAGCGAGGGTGGGGGGTGATAGCTCTAGCTCAATCCTCCAGAGTGCAGGAAAGGCAAGTGAGCCCAGAGAGGGGTAGGGATTTGCCCAAGGCCACACAGCTATCACATGGCCAAGCTGGGGCTATGTTCACGCTCCCTACTCCCTGTTGAGCCCCATCCATGGTGCCATGCCCTCCCTCTCCACAAAGTAGTGCCGGCCTGGGGGACAGGGAAGGACGGGATGAGAAGCAGCTCTGGCTCGGGGCCCGCCCAGTTGTCGAGGTGAGTTGTGGTCTGGCTGCCATGGCCAAGCTGGCGGGCACAATCTGTTCTCACCCTGCTGGAGCACAGACGTCCCACACACAGTGGCTCTACAGCTCAGCTGTCTGGGTCCCTGGCAAACAGTGACATAGTTACTGGCCCGACACTGTGGAGGGGGGCAGGGGAGCTGGTTCTAAGGGCAGCCCCAAGCAGCTGTCCCCAGAGTTCCCTGAGCTTTAAGATCCAAAAGGCCCTGGGTTGACAGAGGTGCCAGTCTTACTGGAACTGAGCGGCCCTCGAGCCTGGCTGGTCTCTTGGAAACATGAGAGTGTAATCTGGCACTTCACTCATTGTTAATCACAGGGAGCCACTATTGAGTACTTGATAATGCACCAGGCTCTGAGCTAAATGCATTACACACAATATCTTACATATTCCTCCCCAAAGTCCTGTGAGGCAAGTGTATTATTAACCCCATTTTATAGATGTGGAAACTAAGGCTCAGAGAAATCACACACACACACACACAGAGAGAGAGAGAGAGAGAGAGAGAGAGAGAGAGAGCGCAAGTCCAGGACAGAGTCACACAGTATCCTGCCCTACAATTTAGTTATCAAACATATTCTGGGCCTCCATAGGTATGGCTGGCAACGTGGAGGTGGAAGCTAGAGAGGAATGTGACAAGGTCCATCAGTGCTACCCCTTACCCCCAAAGCTAGTGTTTAGCTCTATGTCATTGGGGATCCTGGAGGACAGGGGGTGGTGGTAATATTGGCCCTGGAATTACAAGCTGAACATTTTCAGTGCCACTCAAATAAGGCAGAGATCACTTTTAGCTGTGAGGAATCCAGGAGGACTGCATGGAAGAATATTTGGTTAAGATTTGATAAGACTTAGAAGGGAAGAAAATGCCAGCATCATGTTATTATCATAATTCTATTAATAAAAGTAGTAAATATCTCAACAACGGAAGAAGCAGGCCAGCACCAGTAAATACAATTTACAAATGAAGAAACATGCTTAGAGAGGGGGAGTAATTTGCCCAGGGTCACACAGCCACTAGGACCCTGTCACTAGGGATGAGTTCCCATCCAGGTTCATTTTCCCTCCAGGTAGCCAGAAGAATTCTCGACTTAGGCCTTTGAATGGCTGGTGCAGAGGGAACCTTTGCCTCTGCCCTGATCCTGGCTCAGGGTGGGCCGGGGTGGGGGCGGGGTACAGAGAGGTTATCTGGCTGATGATAGTAACACACCTGGAAGGACCCCCAGGGTTCCTGCTTTGCCAAGGGTCACACCACTTCCCCATAAGGACAGACCCTACATCAGGCCAAGCACAGAGGATGACCCCAGGGCTTCCAACTGGAGGCTGATGAGGACCCCGGAACACTCATTCATCCAGCTGTTGCGGGGAGGGGCAGGCAGCCTCCTTTCTCCTCTGGCACAGTGGGCCAGCTGCCCCAGGGAGACTGAAGGGCCCTTGTTGCCAACCAACCCCACATAAGCTTTGGCAGGCAGCAAGGAATTCACCAAGAAGCCAGCCCTGCCTCAGTCTCCCTTCCTGTACACTGGATCACAGGACGTCAGAACCCATTCAGGGCAACCACTTCACCTTGTAGTCAAGGAAACTGAGGCATGGAGAGCACAAGGAGCACGCCCGCAGCCCAGGACACTGAGCTAGAATCCAGCTCTCCCAGATGACCTGTGCCCTCACACTCTCCCTGTGCCTCTGGAGGAGTTCTCAGCAGCACTCAGGCCACCCCTTCTCTAGGCGTACAAAACAGTCCAGTCATTGAGGTCAAACGGACTCAAGTTCAAACACGGTTGCTCTGCTCCCAAGCCGTGTGACCTTGGAAGTCAGCCCTCCCTATTTCTTCCTTCCTACATACTTTCCTGCAGGTGTCACAGAGTACAATAGAAAGCATGAGCAAGGGCCTAGCACAGTGCGTGGAGACAAGGAGCCTCTGTCACTGTAGGCCCAGACCCCCAAGGTGGGGAAGGTGGAGGGGCGAGGGGTAGGGAGAAGAGGGTTTCTGGAAGGGCAGCCCCATAGCGTGTGCTTTCTCTCCTCTCTCCCGCTTTCCCCCAGGCTACGGGCACGCAGCGCCCAGCACGGATGGCGGCAAAGTGTTCTGCATGTTCTACGCGCTGCTGGGCATCCCGCTCACGCTCGTCATGTTCCAGAGCCTGGGCGAGCGCATCAACACCTTGGTGAGGTACCTGCTGCACCGCGCCAAGAAGGGGCTGGGCATGCGGCGCGCCGACGTGTCCATGGCCAACATGGTGCTCATCGGCTTCTTCTCATGCATCAGCACGCTGTGCATCGGCGCTGCCGCCTTCTCCCACTACGAGCACTGGACCTTCTTCCAGGCCTACTACTACTGCTTCATCACGCTCACCACCATCGGCTTTGGCGACTACGTGGCGCTGCAGAAGGACCAGGCCCTGCAGACGCAGCCGCAGTACGTGGCCTTCAGCTTCGTCTACATCCTTACAGGCCTCACGGTCATCGGCGCCTTCCTCAACCTCGTGGTGCTGCGCTTCATGACCATGAACGCCGAGGACGAGAAGCGCGACGCCGAGCACCGCGCGCTGCTCACACGCAACGGGCAGGTGGGCTGCGGCGGAGGCGGTGGCAGCGCGCACACCACCGACACCGCCTCGTCCACCGCGGCAGCGGGCGGCGGCGGCTTCCGCAACGTCTACGCCGAGGTGCTGCACTTCCAGTCCATGTGCTCGTGCCTGTGGTACAAGAGTCGCGAGAAGCTGCAGTACTCCATCCCCATGATCATCCCGCGGGACCTCTCCACGTCCGACACGTGCGTGGAGCAGAGCCACTCGTCGCCGGGAGCGGGCGGCCGCTACAGCGACACGCCCTCGCGACGCTGCCTGTGCAGCGGGGCGCCACGCTCCGCCATCAGCTCGGTGTCCACGGGCCTGCACAGCCTGTCCACCTTCCGCGGCCTCATGAAGCGCAGGAGCTCCGTGTGACTGCCCCGAGGGGCCTGGAGCACCTGGGGGCGCGGGCGGGGGACCCCTGCTGGGAGGCCAGGAGACTGCCCCTGCCGCCTTCTGCCCAGTGGGACACCCCACAACATCCCTCACCACTCTCCCCCAGCACCCCCATCTCCGACTGTGCCTGCTTGCACCAGCCGGCAGGAGGCCGGGCTCTGAGGTCCCCTGGGGCCCCCATCGGAGCCCTGCAAATTCCGAGAAATGTGAAACTTGGTGGGGTCAGGGAGGGAAGGCAGAAACTGGGAGCCTCCCTTCCCTTTGAAAATCTAAGAAGCTCCCAGTCCTCAGAGACCCTGCTGGTACCCAGACCCCCACCTCCGGAGGGGACTTCATGTTCCGTGTACGTTTGCATCTCTATTTATACCTCTGTCCTGCTAGGTCTCCCACCTTCCCTTGGTTCCAAAAGCCAGGGTGTCTTTGTCCAAGTCACCCCCACTCAGTCCTACTCCCCTTCCCCATCCCCATCCCCAGCTGTGTCTCCCAACCTCCCTTCGTGTTGTTTTGCATGGCTTTGCAGTTATGGAGAAAGTGGAAACCCAGCAGTCCCTACAGCTGGTCCCCAGAAAGCAGGACAGAAAGAAGGAGGGACAGGCAGGCAGCAGGAGGGGCCAGCCAGGAGGCAGGAGGCAGTGGCCTGCCAGTCTGCAGAATGGTCACACTGGAGGTTCAAACTAACTGGCCTCTAGCCACATTCTCATAGCAGGTAGGACTTCAGCCTTCCAGACACTGCCTTTAGAATCTGGAACAGAAAACTTCAGACTCACCATCCCCAGCTACTGCTGACAATTCCCAACTCTTAAATTTGTCGAGTGTTTTTTAGCCTGTGAAAACTCTATGCTGGCCACTGATTCCTTTGAGTCTCACAACAGCCTACTTAGGTCACTAGGGCAGGAGTTCTCACCCACATTTTACAGATGAGAACACTGAGGCCTGGACAGGTGAAGTGACCAGAGAGCAAAAGGCAAAGGGGTGGGGGATGGGTGCAGTGGCTCACACCTGTATTCCCAACACTTTTGGAGGCTGAGGTGGGAGGATTGCTTGAGCCCAGGAATTCGAGACCAGCCTAGGCAACACAGTGAGACCCCATCTCTACAAAAAATAAAAAATTAACCAGGTGTGGTGGCACGTGCCTGGGAGTCCCAGCTACTTGGGAGGCTGAGGTGGGAGGATTGCTTGAACCTGGGAAGTCGAGGCTGTAGTGAGCCCTGATTGCACCACTGTACTCCAGCCTGGGTGACAGGGCAAGACTTTGTCTCAAAAAAAAAAAAAAAAAATGGCAAAGGGAGACAAGAGCCCAGCCTACTTGTTCCTAGCTGAAGTGTTATTTTCTTCCAGCTTGGCCTGCTCTTGAAAGCAAAGCTCCTGCAGTGTACATCCTGGCATTGTGTGGCTACCTGGGTTTTAAACCAGAATCAGAAGTCCTGGGTCAGAGGGCACTGCTGAGGCTCAGCCTCTTCTCTTCTTGGTCAGGAGGCAGCAGCTCTGAATGGGCTCCTGAGGCAGCATAGGGGCCTTTGTCACCAGGGTGCATACTTACAAACAGTGCAGTTCTTGGGACCGAGGTAAGCAGGGCTTACCTGCCATGGCAGAAAGGCCAGGATCTGGGGCTCTAGGAGTTTGGGAATTGGGCAGAGTGCCCAAGAAAGCTGGCAGGCGTATCCTATGGGACATCATCCCTGGCACCATTGTCATTGTTGGTGCCTGTGTCCCAAGTAACTAGTGAGAAGCTGAGGCTGCAGCAAGAAACACCGTTCCCAGGTGGCAAGGTATGGACCAGAGATGCCCTCGGCCCACCACACCTGCAACTCAGAAGCCCAGATGGAATGCAGCTGACGAAGGTGATGCTCGAGGCTCACGTTTGGGGCCCCACAGCTGGAGCCGGTATAGTGACTGGGACAACATCAAGGGGTGGATGAGGGACCTGTCCTCCCACAACACTGCCTTCCCATGCTGTTCCCCTGCCAGCTCCTTAACACTGCTGACCAATACGGCATTCAGGGAAATTGGAGGACAGCACCCACAGGGTGGCCAGCCTCAGGCCCCCACCTGCATCCTCTAGTCTCTGGGGACCCCTGGGGGAAGAAGTCTACCCTGCTTGTGAGTCCCGTCTCAGTGTGGAGGAAATGGCTGCCCACGTGCCAGGAAAGCAGGGCCCAGGACCTGGAGGTGCCCACTGTGTTTATGTTGGGGATGGGGGGGCAGTGCTGGCTGCCTCTGTCCTGTGTGTGACCCTGCCCTCGAAGGGTCCTGTCCTGTCAGTCCCGAGGGAGCCACAACCAAAGCTGCGGAGAGAAGGTGGGGAGGGGTGCAGAATGGCCATGGGGCACAGCATGGCGGACTGTTCAGTCTCTGCTGGGTCTTTCCTAGGGACCTGGAAGGCCAGTGTTGCTTCTCCCTCACTCTCTTTCACTGCAGGCAGCCTCTCTGCTTCCCCAATGCCTTATGCCTGGGCACACTGCCACAGAATATGCAATATGTGTGGGTGACCATGTTCTCACGCCCACACCCCCACCCCGGGCAGCCCCTGGACTCCAAAGGCCGTGGCTGCCACAGCCTCCCCTCAGCTCTTCCTGCCTATCTGTCTTCACACTGAGAATGGCGCCCAATAAATGCTATCCACGGAGACCAGGCTCAGGCTCCAGCTGCCTCTGTCATCGTATGCCCTTGCTGCTGCCAGCCATCTCCCACCCCCTCCCCTGCCGGGGTCTTCAAACATACCTAGCTGCTGGGCTCAGTGCCTCACACCTGTAATCACAGCAGTAGGCAGGCAGATCACCTGAGGTCAGGAGTTCAAGACCAGCCTGGGCAACATGGTAAAATCCCGTCTCCACGAAAAATACAAAAATTAGCTGAGCATGGTGGCACGTGTCTGTAGTCCCCGCTACTCGGCTACTCAGGAGGCTGATGCACAAGAATCGCTTGAACCCGGGAGGCGGAGGTTGCATTGAGCTGAGATCACACCACTGCACTCCAGCCTGAGTGACAGAGTGAGACCCTGTCTAAAAATAATAATAATAATAATAACAACAACATACCTAGCTGACTCGCCATGGTCTCGCTGGCCTGTGGGCGACACTGGCTTCCCTTCTGGGATTTCCCAGAAGATCCAGATTTTCTTAATGTCCTCCTGGAACAGACTAAGTAAAAAATACCTTAGAAATCACCTGGTCCTATTGTCCCCCCTGTACATGAATAACTGAGGCCCACAGAGAGCAAATCGCCTGCCTGAGTCACACAGCAGTGAGTGGCAGACCTAAGCTAGGAACTAGAACTGGGGATTCCTATTCCAGTGCTGTCCATCCTCACACAGCCTGCAGAGTCCGCCTGGACACACCCCAGCTGACAGTGGTACCTCCCAGTCAGCCAGGAGTATGGATTCCTTCTCCTGCAGTAGGGGCCCCTGGCTGAGTGACCTGATTGACTAAAACATATGTCTTTGAAGGAGAGTGCATCACAAGCACCTTTCTTTGGGGTACATTTTTCTCTGGGTCTAGAAGGACACCTCAGGCTTGGGACTGGGCCTCAGAGCCCAGGACAGACCCTGAGAGCAGACCCACCTTACCCATCTGGTGCCAGCTCCCCAGGTCAGCTACAGCAACCCCCAAACTTCATATAGTACAATCCACAGTAATAGCACACAGCTCCATACCTATCTAGCTCCATGCCTATCTATCTGCCTACCTTTCACAAAAGGTAGCCCCCTCTCAATTCCAAAGCTGGATTCTTAGCAACCCTGCTACAGCCAGTGACTCTAATACGTTCTGTTCCATTACATGTTATAAAATGCTGGTCACAATCCACTAAATTGATGTCTCTACCTGCTATTGGTTTAACACCAGCAGATTGAAATATACTGGAGAAATAAAGGGAGTGGGAGAATGGACACTTTCTCCCAGTTCCCCCACCCCCCGCCTTACCCGCGTAGGTCAACTGAAAGATACAGAGAGGGAACCTTTGATGGGGGGTTCAGAGTTAAAAAGAAGAAATGATGGCACCTGCACTCCCTGCTTCTGGAGACAGGACACAGCCAGCCCTCCTGTGATGGCACTCCTGGCAGCTCCTTGTTGGCCTGCAGCCCTCAGGGGGCCTAGATGCCATTGGCTCACCCACTCCTAAGGCCACCACATCAAAATCTGAGGCTTACTGCCCTGGCTCACCTGCCTCTGTCTTTCTTAAAACAGCTAAATGCAACAATAGCAGAAATTAGCTTGTTTTGGAGGTTGGCAATGACCAGTTAAAGGTGACTCTTATTTTCTTAAGCAGTGCTTACAGGACATAAACGTGATGACACTTGCCCTCCTTTCTTCATCGCCTGGGATAGACTTTACAAACAGACCTGGGAGGAGTCTCCTAAGGGGCTGCATTTATCCCCATCTCCCTAGGGGTGATCAGCATTGTGGCAGCTGGGCAGAGCAGTGGTGAACGGCACCCATGTCCCTGCTCACATCTTCTAAGATCTCAGAATTGCCTGAGGTTCTAGCGTGGGCTCCTTCTCTCCAGATGATGCCATCCCCACCCCCCTCATTTCCACACAGCATCTGAGGCATCCTGCACTAAAAGATATATGTACAGCAAAACAAAAATAGAAAACCAGCACAGCAGAGTGGAGGTGGGGTATAAATATACCCAGATCCCCGCTGATTTGGTTACTCGGGGTGAGCATCAGATGGAAATAGAAGTTTCCGGGGGCCAAGACAGAAAGAGGGATGTAACGACAATTCTTTTCAAAACGTGTCTCGTGGAAAAAAGGGTTCATTGGTCAAATGAATTTGGGAAAATGCTGTCAATATCACCCACTCATGGAGCTTCACAAGGCATCTTAGCTTAATAAAGGTTATGAAAAGTCTTGCAGCAAAGATGCTGTTTACCCCTGCTTAACCCAGCACTGCCCAAACTCATTCCAAATACCAGACCTCTGTTTGCATGACATCTCTCCAAGCCCTGTATGTCACAGCACTCGCTTTGGGAAATGCTGATCTATCGAAATCTCACTGATGAAGAGAGAAGGCTGATCCTTCCTCCTCACCCCACACTAAATTATAGAAGAAGTTTAGCTTGCAAGTCCTTCTATAAGTGAAGACCACAACAATATAAAATACATATGTTATTCTCAATTACATGCCAGATTCAACCAAGGCTCAAAGCAGCCCACTTGCTCAATATCAGGCAGTGAATTGCCGGCAAAGCAGGGATTTGAACACAGGCCAATGGCTGCAAGGCATATGCTCTTACCCACCTGCTGTGTACTGTCCCATGATGATCCACGTCTTAACAAAGGTTTGGCAGAAGTTCAGACCTATTTATGATGTGGTCATTTCTTATTCAGAACCTCGGTGAGAGAGGAGGCTGTAATCTAATGATGTCATCCTTCAAAGATGACAGATTCCACTGGAGCTAAGAAATCCTATTCCAGCCGGGCACGGTGGCTCATACCTACAATCCCAGCACTTTGGGAGGTAGAGGTGGGCAGATGACCTGAGGTCAGGGGTTTGAGACTATCCTGGCCAACATGGAGAAACCCTGTCTCTACCAAAAATATAAAAATTAACTGGGTGTGGTGGCGTGCACCTGTAATCCCAGTTACTCAGGAGGCTGAGGCAGGAGAATCACTTGAACCTGGGAGGTGAAGGTTGCAGGAAGCCAAAATCGTGCCACTGCACTCCAGCGTGGGTGATACAGTGAGACTCCGTCTCAAAAAAATAAAAAAAATAAAAAATAAAAAGGAAATCCTATTTCACCTCAGGCCCTCACATTCCCACATTTAGGACCATTTAGCTCTTTCTGCAGGCTCAGCATTTCTCCCTACCTGCAAGCCCAGTAGCCTTCCCATAATTTATCGCAGGAAGCTAGAGGCAGGAGAGGGCTGTCCAGGGCCAGGGAAGGATGTGTTTAGGACAGACATGTTGGCAGAAGAAAGAGGCACTGCCGACAGTGACCAAGCCAAGCTCCCTCCCTTGCAGCTCACATCACCATCTCCACTGAGCAGCACAAAGCTGTGGCCCCCTCTCAGTCCCAAAGCTGGATTCAGGTAAGAAGTTTGAATGACTCTGTTTCTCAGGTAACCTCTGAAAAGTTCAATCTGTCATGGACTCAGTACCTTCCTCTTGCCCAGCGAGGCAGGAGCCTTGATGCTGGAACAACAGCATCTTTATTATTATTATTATTATTATTATTGTTATTATTATTGAGATGGAGTCTTGCTATGTTGCCCAGGCTGGAGTGCAGTGGTGTGATCTTGGCTCACTGAAAACTCCACCTCCCGGGTTCAAGCAATTCTCCTGCCTCAGCCTCCCAAGTAGGTGGGATTACAGGCGCCCACCACCACACCTGGCTAATATTTGTATTTTTAGTAGAGACAGGGTTTCACCATGTTGGCCAGGCTGATCTTGAACTCCTGACCTCAAGTAATCTGCCTGCCTCAGCCTCTTAAAGTGCTGGGATTACAGGCATGAGCCACTGCGCCTGGCAGCCATTACCTTTTCTCAAGTGTTGCAAAGATACACACACACATACACACACACACTCAGTTAATTGTTCCAGCTCCTCTGTTTCAGAGGAAGGGATTTTGGTTCAGAGTGGAAGTGACATATTCAAGGTCATGAAGCGAGATAATGGTGTAGCCAGAATTAGTATCCACATAGCCTAACTTTCCAACACACACACACACACACACACACACACAC